GAGGTCAGGATGAGTAGGAGAAGGTTGGGTCTGATCACTTCACACTGTATATGCACCTGTCGGAATATGACCCAACTACAATTTACACATGCTAAACAAAGACTAAAGTGCAGGAGTGAACCCCACAAAGCTATCCGCTCAACAGGGCGGGGTCAAGGTAGAGATAAAAGGAAGTGAAAGGAAAAGGGGCTTCCCTTTTTCTCCTGGAAGCCAGCCACACTTCTAACTCCTGGTCTATGCGACTCTCTCTCTCTCTCTCTGGTAAATAAATATATTGTTTTCCCTATATAGCTTTGAATATCGTTAGACTAAAGGAGTTTTAAAACACATTCAGAAGGCTGAGTACTCAGAAAGGAACTTCAGTGCATCAATTTTTTTGTTGTTGTTGTTTTGGTTTTGTTTTTGAGACAGGGCTTTTCTGTGTAACAGTCCTGGCTGTCCTGGAACTCACTCTGTAGACCAGACTGGCCTCAGACTCAGAGATCCACTTGCCTCTGGCCTCCAAGGGCACCACACTGCCCAGCCCAGCAGTGCCTCTTATCGAAGAGTTTCCTACTTCACTTGCAATTAGAAACAGAGCTGAGTGGAGACACGGTTTTCCTTTCCCCAACATGGAAGAATGTAAGGATTCTGATAGAAAACTGGGTGTCCACGAGGATTCAGAGTCTGAGTCCACCCCCTCCCCCCACAAGTAAGGTTAACTACCACAGTGCTTTGAGGAACCTTTTGACATTATCTGCACTTGAGGCTGGGCACACCCAGCACAGATTGGCCCCGCCACAAACAAGGAATGCCTCAACTGGTGGAAGGGATAAATACATTGCATGCTATTTGTGCAAAGGAATCCCATACCAGGCAGAAGTGTGTAAATTATCGCTGCACATGTGATAATAGAGAAAGAACTCTGTTATGACGTGTGAGTAGCTAGCAGGTTGTAAAAGGACTGGAGGAGCAGCTGTGAGAGCAGGTGACGTTAAATCACACCTGGAACCAATGGGCTTCTCTATAGCTGGCTTTTGTTTTGTTTCTGAGATGGGGTCTTGCTCTGTGAGTATCTGGATTTTAGCTATGCCACTCCAAGTGGACAAAGGCTTTTGTCTTCCTGAGTACAAGGAGATAAAACAATGCACACCCCAGAGTATTTGTGGGGTGGGTGAGGGAAGCATACGTTCAAGTCTTCTTGACTTTCAGCACGGTTTGCAACTGGCCTACAGGTACAGCTCAGCGGTGGAGCGATAGTCTAGACAGAGTATGGCAGTCGTAGGTCTTCATGCTTACTTGGTTTGTTCCTTGAGAGATCAAAGAGCTGTGGCTGTATAATTTTAGTAAGTTTGCTTTTCTGGAAAAATTATTTATTTTTGTGTGTATGAGTATCTTGTGGCATTACGTGTGTACCACAAGCAGGCAGTGCCTGTGGGGGTCAGAAGAGGGCACAGGATCCCCTAGAACTGGAGTTACGAATAATTAGAAGCCACCATGAGGGTACTGGGGACTGAACCCTAGTTCTCTTCAATATCAGCTAGTACTCTTAACCAGATATCTCTCCAGCCCTAACTAGTAAGTCATCTTTACTAACTCATCAATAAATAAATATTATATATGTGTGTGTGTGTCTTTATACCTTTGAGTAGGTATTTGTACACACACACACACACACATATGTATATATATAAAATATTCCTTGATGGCACACTCCTTTAGTCCCAGCACTTGAGAGACAGATACAGGTAAATTTCTAAATTCAAGGCCAGCCTGGTATACAGGACAGTCAGGACTACACAGAGAAATCTTGTCTTAAAAAGCCAGAAACCAAAAGCAAAACACAGCAAAATATTCCTTGTATTTCTGAAATGCTCATTAACTTGGGAGGCTTAGTTCCTGGCCCATGCCACCCTTATGTTTAGACGTCAAGGAGGTGGTGGTGAGGCTAAGGTAGGTCTGGCTGATGTCCCTGGGGCTGAATTGACAAATCCCTGTCACCCCTGAACCCTCATTCTACTCCCAAAGATTGCATTAGGTCCACCATCACAAGAGAGTTTGGAAACACAGTCTTGGGTTGAGATAGTCTCTCTACTTTTCAATGTTTGATGATTTATGAAAAACTGCTTAAGCTCTGTGAGCTCCTGTTTCCTCATTTGTAAGACAGGAAAATAAAGAAACGAATCCACACCCCAAAGCTGAAGCTTGCCAAGGTGTGCAAAAGACAATGCTTGAAAAGCACTTCCCTATAGTGAGACCCTATCTCAGAAACAAAAACAAAAACAAAAACTTTACTACCCACATGTGAGCCCCCAGACATGCCCCTAGGGTGATGCAGGCAGCTCTGTGGGAGCTGGGCTGTGTTTAGTGTTGTGAATAGAAGGGAAACAAAAACAGAAGGGGAACCTAAACCCGAGAGACCGGGAGTTCCGGTTTTGGCTGGCACAAGAATTGGAGCGCTTTAAAAAAGGAAAGTTCCCTCGGGTTTTCCCTTAGGAGGGAGAGTCAGGCAGCAGATGCTAAGCTAGAGGTCTCCCAGTGAGCTGCATCCCAGCCCAATTCTGGCTGTGATGTGAGGGGGTTCCCAAGGCTCACCGGGCAGCTGTACAGCAGACACGGGGCTTTGTGTCCCTAGAAGGGCATTATACTCTCCCAATCCATCCCACTTTCCTAAGTGGCCCAGGTGCAAGTTGGAGTAAGATGTCCACGTGCTTTTCTTCTGAGACAAAAAAAAAACAAAAAAAACCAAAAAAAAACAAAAAACCTTGACGGAAGCTTTCAGAGATGGACTCATCATGACCGAGCCTCTCCTGAAGCTCTCAGGACTGAGCCATTTGTAAATGTTTTCAGACTGGTGTACCCAGACCAGCCAGCCCCTTTCCTCTGTGTCCAGGAGCCAAAGGGTCCTCGTCAGTTTCCTAGAGGAGGCATTCCATGGTGAACTGGTCTTCAAGGGCTAGAGAAGTAACAGGGTTTCCGGCTGCCACAGCCCTGTCATTGAAGGGCCAGGTGTCTGCCGCTGGGTCGCTCAAAAGCATTTATCATCTAGCTGCCTGACAAGGAGGACTAGGAGGGGATCCCTCTTCTCTTTTCTAGTTTAGGGTGTGTGAAGGACACCTTGTCCTTTTCTGGGGGAAGGGCATTGTCCCCAGAAAAAGCTAGAGTTAAAAAGGCTAGACTAATTTCAGAGAGGGGATGAGTTGTATCCCTGAAAACTCCTGTCTTGCCTTCTGAACTGGAAGAGGTGGGCACATGTGAGACAGGAGAACAGAGGAGACAACCACTAAATACAGGCCAGCTTTGGGTCTGCAGCAATGTTGCCCTGAGTTTGGGACTTTGCTTTTTTCTTAAGAACAATGTAATAGTTAATTTAATCTTTTTAAAAAAATGACCTTAAGGCCAGATGTTGTTGTGGCTCATTCCTTTAATCTCAGCACTCTGGAGGCAGAGACAGACAGATCTTGGTAAAATTGAAGCTAACCTCGTTTGCCTAGTGAGTTCCAGGCTAGCCAAAGTCACACAGTGAGATTCTTCGGGGCCTTCCTATGTTACCTAAGCTGTCCTTGAACTCACAATTCTGTTAGACCTTCACAGGTGTTGTGATTACAGGTATACAGAGTGCATCTGGCCTTTGGATCATTATTTTATAGTATATTACTATTTTTATAAACAGCTGGTCATGATACAGTATGCCACTCACACTGGTAGGAGCCTCATCCTCCTATTTGTGGCATCTCTATTGACACTATTGATTATGTTATCGTCTCTTGTGCTGATTAATGCCATGTTGTCTAATTCATCAAGGCCTATCACTAAACTGCATTCCCAGCCCATTATCTCCATTTATAGTTGGCAAAGTGGTAGGAAGATGTTGACTTGCTTGAAAACTCAAGACACTGAAACCAAACATAGACACTTAGCCTGGGGGCCTGATTCTGTGTGCTGCTGGCCTTTTACGTGTCTGGAAACACCACCTTGAAACGAGGTTCCAAGCCACCATGCCAGACACTGGCTCTTTGTCACCTAGATTCACAAGGTTGGCATTGGCTATAGAGGACCAGCGGATGGAGGAACCACAGATCTACATGGAGATGGTAGTAACCAGCCCAGTAAGCTGCTCTGCAGAGCCTGGCAAGGTACATGGAGCAGGGTGCTGCATCTTTGCCCATTCAGGACATAGCCTCAAAGTGGGAGAATCTGCTTCATCTCATCATTCTTGCAGTGAGGCACCAGCTGCTCCAGTTTTGAACAAAGGCGTTGATATTGAGTTATTGGCCAGAATATTCTACCTGCCTGGAGCCTCCTGAAACCAACCTGTTCTAAAAGTGTGCAATGCCTACTGGTCAAAACGAGGTTGCCAATGAAGATGTTGGGTCCATCTGACCACTCCATTTATATACTAGTTGAACACCCCAAATTTGAAAATCAAAATGGACAATGCTCAAAATCTAAAGCTTTCTGAGTGCCAATATCTATCCTCATGTGACAGTCACAGAACACAGGTGCACTCACAATATTACATAACATTATCTTCCAAGCTGGAGAGCTGTGGGGACGCTCCCCCTGAGGCTGATCTAGAAGCCAAGTGCTTCCAGCTCCAGCACTCAGGTCTTGCCTTTCCCAACAGTGTGAAGAGCCCTTTGTGAACTCCTAAGAAGGATGCCATTCCTAAGATCAAAAAGTGATCAAACAGTTGCTTACAACAGCTCTAGGCAAGAGCCTGCAACTTCCTGGACCTTAGCCTCCCTACTGAGGAGAAGCTGTCAAAGGGAACCACTAAGCTCCTTTAGTCCTAAGATCCTATAAATCTCTGCAGACTTCGAGTTATATGATTAGGCTATGTACATTAACTCCTATGCGCATTAACTCTCTATGCCAAGTGTGCCAATGCTGCCCAGTGGATTCAGGCCATGCACGTGTATAAGGTTAGCTACCTTTCTTGTAGCTATAACAAAATACATGACAACGCAGTAGATTGATTACTTTCTATTTCTGAGATAAAACTCCACGACCAAGGCAACTTATAGAAAAAAAGTTTATTTTGGGCTTATAGTTTCAGAGGGTTAGGGTCTATAATTAGGGTCAGGGAGGGGACGGTATGGCAACAGATGGTAGACGTGGCAGTGAGAAGCTGAGAGCTGAGGGCATACATATCTTGAGCCACAAGCAGGAAACAAAGGAAGTGAACATCCTCAGTGGTGTACTTCCTCTAGCAAGGCCGCCCTCCTAAATCTGCCCACATGTTACCACTGGGAACAAACTATTCAACTGCCCGGGACTATGGGGGGGCATCTGGTTCAAACGGCCACAAATAGTTTAAGCAGCGAAGGGTTTATTTTGCCTCATAGTCTTGAGGGTCTGGTCCATCCCGGCAGCAGGAGTTTGAGGCGGTTGGTCATGTTGTATCTGTAGTCAGGAAGCAGAGAAAGAGAGAAGCATGCTGGTGTTCGGCTCTCTCTCTCTCTCTCTCTCTCTCTCTCTCTCTCTCTCTCTCTCTCTCTCTCTCTCTCTCCTTTCTATTCAGTCTCAGTAAATGTTCACCGTATAAGAAATGCTGGAGAGATGGCTCAGCAATTAAGAATATGAGATGCTCTTCCAGAAGACTCAGACTTAATTCCTGGCACCCACAATGGCTGCTCACAATCTTCTGTTACTCCAGTCCCAGGAATAAAACTCCTTTTTCTGGTCTCCAGGGGCACTGCATGCGTGTGATGCAGATACACACATGCAGGCAAAATAACCTACACACATAAAAATTATTTGAAAAATATAGAAAGGAGGCAAAACAGTATTTTTCAGCTTAGCTTCCTCCTTCTTCTCTCATACAACACATCCTGACTCCAGTTTCTCCTCCTTTCACTCATCCCAGCTCCCCTCCCACCTCCCCTTTCCCCCAAATCTACTTCTTTGGTTCCCTTCAGAAAGGAGCAGTCCTCCCAGGATATCAATCAAATGTGGCATAACAAGATACAGTAAAACCAGGCACAAACCCTAATGTCAGCATTGGGTGAGTGTTGTGTGATACTTGATCATACTGTGTTAGTAAAATCAACCTAGGATCAGGGGACAACTAATTGAGAGTACAGAGGAGCCAAGAATACAGACAGAGAGATGCACAGGAAGGAGTAGGGAGGGACTTGGAGTTTCTCAGTCTATATGGTTTGGGTCTCTTGGTGGGTCTCTAGCCAAAAAGGAAGGTCAGCTAGTTGCTGTGCGGCCTGTCTGAGCTACAAATATTTACCCCAACATCTGACTCCCAAATCTTTATTGGTAAATAGAATGATAGAGCCTTAGTTAAAAACAACAGTCAAGGAAGCCCAGTAGGAAGAAAAGGGTCCCAAGAGCAGGCAAAAGAGTCAGAGATACCCACCCCTCCTGAAAAAACACCAAGCTAACAACCAGAACATATTTGCAGAGGATCTAGAGCAGACCCCTTGCAGGTTCTGTGATTGTCGCTTCAGTCTCTGTGAGCCCCTATGAGCCCAGCTTAGTTGATTCTGTGGCCACACAGTTTAGAACATACTGAACACCCTCTCTCTGCCCCCGTCACAGCATTTAGGCCCCCTGACACTGTCCACTTTCCCCATTCTCCTCTGATACCCTTCAGCAGAATGGAAACACCTTGATGGAAGAGGGTTATGTTTGCCCTTTGCCTGCCCTCAGAGCTGGCATGGACTCATATCTCTTTAAATATTTGTTGAAGGAATTTTTTGTTTGTTTGTTTTTCTAGACAGGGTTTTTCCTGTGCAGCCTTGACTGTCCTGTAGCTCACTCTATAGAGATTTGCTGGCCTCTCCCTCCAGAGCACTGGGATTAAAGGAATGTGCCATCACTACCTAGCTGTTGGAGGAATTCTTAAAGAGACAATAGAAGCTAGGGTGCGGTGGCTCATGCCCATAATCTCTTGTCAGGAGGAGGCCAACCTGGGCTACAAGCACCTTATTTGGATATCTCTATTTTTGTCAAAGAATGCTTTTTTGCTTTGGTTTTGGGTTTAATCATTGCTTTGGAGGCAGGCTCCTGCTATGTAGCCCAAGCTGGCCAAGAATTCAGGATCCTCCTGCCTCCACCTCCAGAGCTATGGGATTACAGGTGTGAGCCTGCCATGCCTGGCTGTGAAGTGACTCCTCACCCTCAAGAAGGAAAGGATGTTGGTATAGTGGCTAAGTGGACACTGGCTGCTGCTGATAGCTGTAGGGGGGGTCATTTAAATCCCCAAGCCCGGAACACAGAGATAGGAGCAGGCTGGGCTGCACGTGTTACTGTGAGTTCATCGTGATAAGAACTGGAGGGATGGCTCAGCGGTTAAGAGCACTTTGCTTTTCTTGCAGAGAAGCTGACTCGGATTCCCAGCACCCGTTCCAGGTTGTTCACAACTGTATGTAACCCCAGTTCTAACCCTGTCTTCCGGCCTCCACAGATACCAGCAGACATGTGGCCTCCGCTTACATATACATACATAGAAATAAAGGTAAAAACAGCAGCAACAGGAACCAGGGGAAGACTACCTCTCTCACTCTCTCCATCCCTTAGTTGCTTGTGGTTCTTTGTGCAAGGTTGAGACCTCCTGAGCTTTCCCCACATCCATGATAACGTGTGTATTGCTGGTGTCTTTTCTTGTTCATTTCATGTTTGGTTGGTCTCGTTAGTGAGAGTTTATGGTGGTAGCTTCTGACATCCCTAGATTTTCCAGGGAAGAACACACCAGTTGATTGGCCAATACCAAATGGTCAGCCCTGAAAACAGACACGCAAATGACAATATGCAGATTGAACATATTGTACTAGAGTATTTAGGAATATATGCATGCACATAAACAAATATGTATTTAACAACAGTTAATGAAATGGAGGCCATGAATTTGAATGAGATCAAGGAGGGGTACATGGGAAGGTTTGGAGACAGGAATAGAAAGGGAGCTATGATTAAGTTATGATCTCAAAAATTAAAAAAATAAAAGCAAGACCTACTCATCTCGGGACTTCAGTCGCAGGAGCTCAGTGGTCATTGCGTTGTGTCACAAGGAGTGGTGACACAGACAATGGGAAGTGAGCAGCTGGATGTGAGAGCTCACATCCATACTCTCAGCTCTGGGGAGACAGAGGCAGGAGGATTGCCTCCACTTACAGGCCAATCGGGGCTATAGAGTAAGGTGCTATGGCAGGAAGGAAAGACGGGCATGCTTCGAGGCATCACGGGGTTCACCTGCAATCCCAGTCCCAGCGCTTGAAAGGTGTCTCGCCCCCAGAAGGGACTGGAGTTAGAGGGACTTTGGCAGGAAGCACTAGTGAGCTCTGGTCTTCCAAGAGGCTCAGAAAGCTCAAGGCTATCCTCGGCAAGTCTGAGGCCATGTGAGTCCCTGTCAAAGGAAGAATGAGGTGTGTAGGGTTGTATAAACCATTCAGTGCACACAGGGAGCACCAAGTACTCCCATGGTAAGGAAAGAACCCCTGCTCCCAGGCCGAGATAGAAGAAATGGTATCTTCCAAGCTCTGAGACCCTGAGCAGGTCACTGGATCCCTTGGGATCCCAATTTCCTCATTTGCACACCCTAGGCTTATCAGAAAATTCTAGAAGGTTTACCCAGACTTAGCGCTCTTCCTTATCTTGATCTACTGCTGTTCGGAATCCCTGATGGAAACACAAAAGCTTCCAGGGAGTTGGGAAATGGGCAAGAGGTCAGCGTCTCCCCTGGTTAATCAGAAAGAGTCCTGATGTGGAGAGAGTTTGAGTTCTGCATTTAAAGGGAAGCAGAGAAATCTCACTCGAAATCAGGAAAAATCCTGAGAATAATGCTCTAGTTAGAAGTGTGCCGGGCGTTGGTGGCGCACGCCTTTAATCCCAGCACTCGGGAGGCAGAGGCAGGCAGATCTCTGTGAGTTCGAGACCAGCCTGGACTACCAAGTGAGTTCCAGGACAGCCTCCAAAGCCACAGAGAAACCCTGTCTCGAAAAACCAAAAAAAAAAAAAAAAAAAAACAAAGTGTGTGGACCTTGGTTTGGTGGGATGGCTTAGTGGTTTGAAGGACTGCATAAACCTGATATTGACTTCAGTCCCATCCCTGGAATCTACAGTGGAAGGAGAGAACCAAATGCAGAAAGATTCACAGACAGACAGACAGACAGACAGACAGACACACACACACACACACACACACACACACACGACTGGTGATATTTCTCTGTGGTAAAGGTGTTTGCCACCAAACTTTAGACCCACCCGGTAGAGAGAATTGATGCCCACAAGGTTCATCTGACCCCTGCATATGCACAGCGGTGTGTGGACACCTCTCCCCCAAATAAATAAAATGTATTGGAAAACTTTTTAAATAAATTAGAAAAAACCCATGAAGACTTTGGTACTATGACGTTCCTCTTCTTCCAATCAAAGTCACAGAAGCCTGGGTGCCCCTCCCAACTGTCAGGGGGATCAGAATGCATTGCTTTTTTTCTGCTAAAGCCCCTATGTACCTCATCTTGTAGAAGGTCCTTTTGACTCTCCCAAGATGAAGGGAAACTTTGCTTTCGATCGCTCAGCTGTTTCTGAAGTCTGCCCCGGATTTCTTCCTGCATCTACTTTCCCAGACTCTCCTCTCTAACTTGGCTGGGCCTGAATCTTAATGATTACCCACAGCACTCTGACAGCAGGTCCAGTTTCAGGCTAATCAATACTAGTATTGGTTTAACTTTAAAGATAAACCAAGAATTTAGCAAAACACCTGTGTGTGTGGTTTAATAGCATAGCATTTATCACTCCCACGACAGCCTGCTGTGTGAAGCAGCAGAGCCCAAGCAGATGTGTGGTGTGTCTCTTCTTCTTCTTCTTCTTCTTCTTCTTCTTCTTCTTCTTCTTCTTCTTCTTCTTCTTCTTCTTCTTCTTCTTCTTCTTCTTCTTCTTCCTCTTCTTTTTCTGCTTCTTCTTCTTCTTCTGCTTCTTCTGCTTATGCTTCTGCTTCTTCTGCTTCTGCTTCTTCTTCCTCTTCCTCTTCCTCTTCCTCCTCCTCCCTTCACCTTCATCCTTCTTTTTTGTTTTTCAATGCAGGTTTCTTGCTGTCCTGGAACTTGCTCTGTAGATCAGGCTGGCTTAGAACTCAGAAGTCTGCCTGCCTCTCCCTCCCAAGTGTTGGGATTAAAAATGTGCACCACCACCTCTTGGCCAGGGTTTGATTCTTAACATTGGCAAATGAACAAAAAGGGCTGGAGAGATGGCTCAAAGGGCTGCTCTTCCAGAGGTCCTGAGTTCAGTTCCCAGCAATCACAAGTGGCTCACAACCATCTGTGATGAGATATGGTGCCCTCTTCCGGCCTGCAGACATACATGTAGACAGAACACTGTATACATAATAAATAAATAAATCTTAAAAAAAAAAAAGCCGGGCGTTAGTGGCACACCAGCACTCGGGAGGCAGAGGCAGGCGGATTTCTGTGAGTTTGAGGCCAGCCTGGTCTACAGAGTGAGTTCCAGGACAGGCTCCGAAACAATACAGAGAAACCCTGTCTCAAACAAAACAAAACAAATGAACAAAAAAACAAGGCAATATGAGAGTAGATGAACTATCTGACATTATTTGAGTTGAAGACCAGATTTGTATGTGTGTCTTTTAATTTGGCCTTGAAATGCAGTCTCCCAGAAGAATTTCAGAATGTGCTGGGAGTTATGGAAACACTTTCTAACTCTGAACACATCTCTGGAGATAGCTGCTCCAAGCCAACAGCCACCCCTCTATGAAAGTTGAAGTGTTCAGTCTTAACATTCACCATCCTGACTTCCAAGTTAAACTTTACATTATTGAGTTAGAGTAAACAGAAGCCACTTAACTTATCACAAGCCCCCTTTCTCAAAGATGAGCAACCCTGAGAGCTTATGTAAGAACAATATTACTAACGTGTTATTTGCTTTCTGAGCTGAAGAACTGACCCTGTAGGAAGTCAAAGGAACCATGACCCGTAAATCCTTATCAACTTCCCCAACATCTCTTTTTTGTTTCTCTTCAGGCTCAACTCAAATAGTTACTCTTGGGAAATGCAGAGTGAAGCATCCTCCTTGATGTGTCATCTTAACCAGAGAAGTGGCGAAAGTACCTTGGAGGACCTAGAACCAACATGGGAGAGGGTCCTTCTGACATTGCTATTGTTGACCTGAAATGCATGGAGCAGAGAAATGAAGCAAGAGCTTACAGCCTGGCTGTCCAACTGGTAAACTTCCAAAGTTGGTCTCAAGAATACAGAGAGAGGAGTGTCTAGTTCTTCTTGTGGTGCCAGGCACAGACATACACAGGAGATCTGGTAGCTGACTACTAGGCTACTCTGAAGGTGAGATCCTTCCAGTCCAGTCATTTGGCATTGGTAAGAGGCACACATGAGGACCAGTCTGTTAATCCAAACCCCTCCAACTTCTTGCTTCCCTCTAGGTCTCCTCTCAGAGGTAAAAGCCGCCAACCAAAGTTCCTTGACTGGGTCATAGGTCCCACATCATAAAACTTGGGGTATAATATTTATCACCCTTCTGCAGGTGGGATGTCAAAATGAAAAAGAAATAATAATCCTAAATCTCACACGAAGACTGAGGAGATCGATGAGGTAATTGATATGAAATAGTTTGGACTCCCTGGGAAGCAAAATAGGGCATAAATTTAGGCTTTGTCACTGGATGGACCCCATGCTAATAACTCAGTGTGGTTAATGAGAAACTTGCTTGGCTGTGTAGACGGTGGAACTGCATGGGCTACCGTTGGAGCTCAGGATAGACTAATTCTGATCAATAATTCTGCGGACTTGGTGTAGCCATGATGCCCCTGCCTCAGGTCATTTTCTTCTCTCCCTTCATCTTCCCTCACAGCCTTTTTTAAAGTATTATTTTCTTCCTGTGATGACTCTTTTTTATTAATTTATTTTTTACATTCCAATCCCAGTTCTCCCTCCCTCTTCTCCTCCTGCTCCCTCCACCTCCCTACTCCTACTCCCCCTCCCATCTGCTCCTTGGAGAGGGTAAGTCCTCCCCTAGGAAGTCTACTAAGTCTGCATCAAAGACTCTTAATATAGGCCTGGGTAGTCTGGAAATTGCTACTTTATACTACTCTACAGTCCTCCTGCCTCTGTCTTCTGGGTACTGGCATGACAGGCATGACTATAACTGGCCTTCCCCCACTCCACTTTGTTTGTTTGTTTTGGTTTTTTTTGAGACAGGGTTTCTCTGTGGGTTTGGAGCCTGTGCTGGAACTAGCTCTTGTAGACCAGGCTGGTCTCGAACTCACAGAGATGCACCTGCCTCTGCCTCCAGAGTGCTGGGATTAAAGGCATGAGCGACCACCTCCCGGCCATCCTCCCCCCTCCCCACTTTGAAGCAGGGTTTCACATAGCCTAGGCTGGCTCCAAACAAAGTAGACTCTGAGACAAGCATCCTAGTGTCTCATCCTCCTGAGTGTTGGGATGACAGGCGTGTACCACACTCAACTTCTTGCCGTTGAATATGCCTGCAGACAGCACCGTCATACTGAAGTCATCTCCCAATGGCTTCTAATTCAACACCGGAACCCAGTTTCTGTTCTTGTGAGTATAAATAATGTGTGCTCTTTAAAACAACATGGCAATGCTTGGCTGCCATTATTGAAAGAATCTCAGGCACTCCTTTGCTTTGATAGCAGTTGATTCTGTGTGAACAGCAATCATGGCCCTGGTTCATTGACCAAAAAGAATAGATGTTCTCTGAGCTCCCCCACCTCAGGCCCCCAATCAGAATTCTAAGAGAATTTCCACTCTGGCACTCATCCTGATCAGTCTGCCTGATCATTGCTCTAGCCAAGGCCACCGGCGTCCTCTGTGTTCCCATTGTCACTGACTGATTCTCTTTCATCCGCTCCGGCTGTCAGCAGTATTTGATCCCACTTACCGCTTTCCTTGCAAGCCTCTGCCAGCTCGGCTTCCTGAACATCAGCTCTCTCACTGCGTTGTGCAACTCCTGGGACCACATTTGTTTCTACCAGGGTTTGGCGTATTACAGAGGCAGGTCAAGTCAGCCTGCACAGGTTCTCATGGACTTTTTGGGAACACAGCCACATCTGTTTGTCTTCGGATGCTTTGTGCTTTAATGTCAGAATGGCGTGATGGCAGCCAGGAGAATGTGGCTTATGAAGGTGAAAATATTTACCATGTGACGCTTAATGAGAACATGTCCAGAAAAACGGCATGGACTGTCTGAGGATGGCTTTGCTTCCTGCTCCAATGGCCACTCCTAGTCTCCCTTGATTCTCCTCGTTTCCCTGGTCTCCCATTCTCTGCCTTTGAACTCCTTCTGTACCTAATCCTTGGCTGAGTCCAACCAAACCCAGAAGATCCCTACTTTCAATTTACCTCTCTTTCTGAAAGGATCTCACATAGCTAAGGATGTGAGATCACATAGCCTTGTACTCCAGCTCCTCCTGCCTCCATATCCCGAATACCGGGGTCACAGTTGGGTACCACCAAACCTGACTTACATATGCTTTCATACCCATAGGTTTAGAGTCAAAGTTTCTCAATTAATGACGAAGTCTCCACTTGGACTTCCAATGGACTTGACTTCACAATGGACCGCAAACCTGCTCTCTCAGCGGCTCTTCTGTTAGTGGCAACTTTCTTTTAGTTGCTCAGGCCAAATGCAGATGCTGCCTGGCTTAGAAAGTAGATAACTTGGGCTGGAGAGATGGCTCAGTGTTTAAAAACACGGTCTGCTCTTCCAGAGGAACCTGGTTCAATTCCCAGCAAAAATAATAATATAAAATTATATATTGTTATATAAACAAATTATGTTAAAAAAGAAAGTAGATACTTAGAAAGTATCACAAGGCAGGAATGTATGCAGTGTTCTTAGTATTCTGAGCATGGTGGTTAGCCTGCCTCAAACACTTACACAAAGTTATCCAAAGCAAAGCCTACTTTGTGGTACATGTCATTTATTTATTTGTTTGTTTGTTTATGAGACAGGGTCTAACCATGCACATCAGGCTGGTTTCAAACTTAAGAGAGCCCTCTGTCTCTGCCTTTTCAGTAGGCGTGAGCTACTATGCCTAGCAATATATTTAGGAGCTCAAGGCCATCCTTGAACTATGAAGGATCTTTTCAGAAAGAGAGACAAGGTGGGGAGGGAGGGAGGAAGGAAAGAAATTCTTGTAACTTAGTGTTTATTATTAAACAAAGAAACAGCCTGGCCATCAGTAGTGGCACACAACTCTAGTCCCAGCATTCGGGAGGCAGAGGCAGGTGAATCACTGAGTTTGAGGCCAACCTAGTTTATCTATACAGTGAGTTCCAACTCTCGTCTCTAGAAAATCAAAATAAAAAGCAAAACAAAACGGAAAAACCCCAAAACAACAGATTCTTGACTACTATACTGAAAGTTATCTCTAGTATCATTGTGGCTTTGAGAAATAGTGATGTTACCAAACCTGGGTCACAGACTTACACCAAGAAATCAAATTCTGTCTACTAAACTTGAGAATCCAGCACAAACAGCAATCTGACAGTAAAATGCAGGAATAGGAGATACAGTCAACGTGGTCACGTGGGGAAGAGAGACAAAGACATCTGGTGACCACTCCACAAGGCCTTCTTCAGGGTCCTGAAGTGACACTGCAGTTTAAAGTGAAGGCCACAGATTTGAACATCTAAGAAGTGCAAATGTCCAAGGGTGGTCTTGCCCACAACTGACCCATCATTGGGCTTTAGTCCACCGTGGGAGCTGTAAAAGCTGTGTGAAGTCTCTGGAGACAAGTTCCCCTTCCAGCTGGTGTTTTTCCTTCTCCCTGCAAGAGGTTCCTGCTATTTCATGGGTCCTTCCTTTAGAATGTCTTGCTGGGTACAACAACTCACACCTTTAATCCAGTACTCAGGAGACGGAAGCAGGATCTCTCTGTGTGAGTTCAAAGCCAGTTTGGGATACAAAGTGAGACCCTGTCTCATAAATGGATGGATGGATGGATGGATGGATAGATGGATGGATGGATGGATGGATGGATGGATGATTGGATGTATGTATGTATGTCTTTAATCCCTGCAGGCCAGTTATGGCAGGGCCCTTGTGAGTCAGGGACTATTTATATTAGCAGGTTCTCTCCCCTAGCCACAGGTAATCTACTGATAAAGTTAGGCACCATCCTTGGAATAAGCCTCTGATCCATTTGCACCTGAACATTCCTGTCTCAGACCACTTGAACAAGCTCTCCTAGCTTGGATTACATGATCACCTCTGGTGGGCTTTTCTGGATCGGTTTCCTCCCCTCTGACCTGTTCTTGCTGTGTATGTGACAATCCTTTCACAAGAGAAGTCAGCCATATCTTTTCCTTGCTTTCTCCAGCTCACCTGAGGTGAAATCCAGGCCATTTCCGCCTCCTCCCTACTGAAACACCCCTGGGTTTTATTGCTTCCTTTACACCCCTCCTTCCTCACATGGCTCCAGCTGCACAGGCCGCCTTTCTCCTTGGGGATAACTCCAAATGGGTCTATGCTTTCCTGCTACAAATTCTTCTAGAAAGGGAGTGGTGAGATTGCTCCGTGAAGGAGCTTGCCACCATGCCTAATGACCGGACTTCAGTTTCCCAGACCCACAAGGTGGGAGAAGAGAGCTGACTCTTGTAAGATGCCTTCTGACCCAGCTGCCCACATATCCCCACTCCCATGGACCCACAGAAGCCAACCAACCAACAGATAAATGTAACAAAATATGAAACTGTGGAATGGGAGGTGGAACCTAGGGCATTTTATGTGCTTGGCAATGTTCTAAGGCTGAATCCCATCCAAGGCCCTTCCTGCTGTCAGACTTGCATTCCTCCTCCCGCCAACCTGTGGGCTCTGATGTAGGAATTCTCTACGCTGTTTTCTAGTCTATTCAGTGGGAGACTGTTTGATTTGCTTCATAACTCAGTCCTCGCTTGTCTGGGCCAACATTAACTGTTCCCTCTCTAGTACCCCACACTATGTCTGTGCTGACTGGAGATTCGGCCTTCCTCTGTGAATTCCAGGTGTCTGTGGCCTTTGTTCCCTCTGCAACGTAGTCCAGAAACTCTGGCAAAGGCTGTGGAGGAGCAGAGTCATTTGTAGTTTAAGAGCTAGAGGCAGCTGGGGATGTAGCTCAGTGCTAAACCGCTTACATGAGCTCCTGGGTTTGATCCCCAGTAAAAGGCAGGGTGCTTGTCTAGCATGCACAACGCCCTGGGTTGTCCCAGCACCATATAAAATAGGCGTGGTGGTGCATACCTATAATCCCAGAACTCAGGAGGGGGAGGCAGGAGGATCAGGAGTTCAAGGTCATCCTTGGCTACATATTGAGTTCTGTCTAAGTTGGGGCAGTGGGGAGGCTGTAAATTTGAACTGTTTCTTTGTAGAGAATACTTTTGAATTGACTTGGTTGTTTTCCTCTTTTTGGTTTTTGAAACAGGTTTCTCTGTGTAGTCAGTCCTGGCTGTGCTGGAACTTGCTCTATAGAGCAGGCTGTCCTCGAACTCAGATACCTGCCTGCTGCTGCCTCTGGAGTGCTAGGATTAAAGGTGTGTATCACCAGGTCTGGCTTGACTACATTTCTCAATGAAGGACCTTGCAGCCTTGCAACCTTACAGCCTTCCCTTGGTTTGCAGAATCCAATCTTCCTCTTCCCTGACAGAGGGAGGGACTGTCTGCATCTGAGCCTTGGTGACCAGAGGAGTCCATCCTTGGTCCCAAGTCCACATGGGGTCCTGCTGCCTCTGCAGAAAGTCACAGTAGGACAGGGCTCTTAATCCCAGAAAATTCTTCCTTCCACCTGACCCCCACCCCCAGAGTCAGGGTTTACCTACTGGTCAGTGCTGTTGCCCTTTCCGGCCAGGTGTGTGACTTACCTGTCACAAGCAAGAGGTCCCTGGCAGGGTGATTAACTCATGACCACCGGCCACAAAGACACAAGGCCTTCCAGCCCTTAGACTCCTGGCTGCCTGCATGCCAGCCCCATGCAAACAGGCTATCAGAGTCAAACTTTGTTCCAGGAGGCTGAGTTTAATCCCTTGGCCTTGGCAGGGCCTCCATCTCTAGCTGAGGTGGTTTGGTTTAGCTTTTAATATTCTTGCAGCGTGCTTAACTTCTTTGGGAGGCTACAGAAATCCCAAGGTTCATGCAGAAAAGCAGGCCATCAGAGATTAATGGATACCTTGCACCCTGGCTTCAAGCCTGCTTGGCCACGGTCTCTGGTCATTCTAATCTGAGTTGTTCCTGTCCTTAATTCCTGAGACTAAGCTACCATTCCAAAGTGTTCTTTATTATCTGGCCACAGTCTCTTCAGCTCTCCCCTTCTCTCACTCCGTTTCTGAGATCACGATGCTCCTTCAGTCCCTGTCACTCCTATTGGTTGCTGTGTGACTGGGCACTCTGAGGCTGACCCTCCATCAATCAGGCTTGAGTTTGGGTTCAGATTATGTTGTGTGCTGGGCAGGGAGCTCTCTGAGCATCAGAGAGGAGGATGGGGAGTCACAGGGGTCAAGAAGATTGAAACCACCATCACTCAACGCACAGCCCAGGTCCTGGGTATCATGGGTAGTGTTGAAACTGGCAAGTTGTCTGAGGGAATCAAGAGACAGAGAAAGACATCCTCTCACAAAGGGGTGCCTGAGGAGAGGTTGAAGCATCTGCACTGGAAGAGTCTGCCTGCCTGGTCTGTGAGGCAGAGGCAGGTAGATCTCTATGAGTCAGAGGCCAATGTGGTCTTCACATGAGTTCAGGCCAGGTAGGGCTACACAGACTGTGTCTTAAAAGAGAAAAGCAAACAAGCAACAGATTGCTGCTTATTGGGAAGGAGGATATATGTTTTATGTATCACAGTTTTCATAACCATAAATCTTCATATCTGGAGAATAGAACCCTCTATGGCTGTCCTCTCCTCTTCCTTTTCTTCCTCCTCCTCATCCTCTTTTCTCCTTTTAGAACTGGTATAAAACTCTGGGCCTTGAGTGTCCCAGACAAGCACTTTCACACTGGGCTATCTTGCCAGCTTTGAAATGGTCCTTTTGTTTGTTTTGTAAGTTAATTTTATAAAAATCATTTTAGTGTGTGTGTGTGTGTGTGTGTGTGTGTGTGTGTGTGTCCCAGG